CGTTCATTTTCAAAGACTTTTGTGAAAATACGTGTTTGACGCTTTTCGCCAAATCCACACTCTTTTTTATGGAAACTGCGGTTCAAAAGTTACATCCGCTACACGCATCACAAATAATTTAATTCTTTAGGATCTCAAACTCATTTTCAATTATCTATGCCTACCATAACTTGAGACACAACGTTCAGAGGTACAATTCAGTTATCCGCGCAGCTAATATACCTAATCGGGGCCACCCCCATTTGTTGTAACAAGCCAAACTTGCATTTTGTGTCAATATACATGCATAATATATATACATCTGTATGCATTAATTCACTACTTTTTATCTACGTTTAATTAATGTAAAAATTGTTATTTTTCCGCACATCTTCCACTCAGAGATTGTAGCTTTTAAGAGTGTGTGCATTTGTTCGTATGGGGTTTTTCTAGTACTCATTTGTTTATCTCCGCGCTAACACGTGTCGGGGATTACGACTGCCGGCTGCGCAGAACCATTTTTAATTCAAATATTTTCCGAGATTTCCTGCTGCAGCTGGATTGAAAGAGAATTGTGTTTACAGTATCAACAAGTTTATATATACAAACTTGTATATAAATACTCAAGTGCTATGTATTGCTTGTACTTTTATCAGTGAACTAATACACCTTTATTGAATTTACCTCTACTTTGAAATTATAATTTTGGCAGGCTGATAAGAATATTTCTTTTTCTGCATCCTACGATATCGCTATTAATTTATATGATCCAAAAGTTTGCTTTTTATATATATGTATGTATGTACGTACTGCTGCTGTTCAACCATATATTAAATGTGATGCTAATCGAATATAGTAAATTTATGAAGTAAATTGGTTAGCACACACCCATTTTGTTTGTCCCGTTTCGTGGCCTTTCTCCCAAGCGAATTTGGGCCTGGCCGCTGCCTAAGCCACTGTACCGCCCCCAGCTGACCAGTTTCATTAGCTTATGCTAATATGAGGTGCCAATTGCAGTTAATATATATGTACGTACATACAAATAACCTATAAAATACGAATGAGTATGTATGTATGAGCAAATTTTAAAGTGTTTAACTGTCAGCTATTCGGAAATCGATCTAGAGGTGCTTGACTATAGCAAAACCGAACAATAAAATACTTGTCTTACAAGACATCAAGCTATTAAAATGTGTTTTTCCCTTTATATTTATAATATTTCTGCATTCCAATGAATGATAATCCTGAGATCTAATTATCATCGGATATGTATACATAGGTTATACTGGTAATTCTCGAATTTGCCAAAAACTTAAAAATATGGGACTCGTGTCCCAGCGCGAGCCGCGTGCCTCTGGAAGTGCGTGCTTATGTCGTGTATTGATTCGGGTATTGAGTGTAAATTTTATAATTTTTTTTTTATGTTTTATAAGACATTTTGTATGAAAAGCTATACCAAATTTACCAATGTTGTCGTATGCCTACCATAACTATTGGTCGATTATTGAGTAAAGCAACATTATTGAAAGCTGCGCATCGCCAAGGGGTAAGGCTGTGCCCTGTTATTAAAACTCTCTTTTACAACGATCTTGACAACGTTGTTTAATTTTAAAACGTAATATTAACTTACTTCATTTGATAATTTGAAATTTTCTTGATATTTTTTGTTTAATACATTAAAATCAATAATTTTTTGATCTTGTTACCCTTTAATAATGTTTTATACTTTGTTATTCTAATATTATATTGTTAATGTGCACATCTGCTGAGCAGCTTTACATAGCCAACAAGCAGCTCATGAGTTTATTGTGCACACCTATATATATATAAACATATATATACATATATATAAATGTAAGCTGAGAAAACGCAAACAGACCAATAAAGATACAGAAAGCGACACAGATACAGAGACAAATACAGATAATCGCATGCATACCTACAAGCATACTTACACATACATATGTGTGTATGTATGTATGTATGTGACCATAAGTTAGCTCAGTCAGCGCTTGGGACTATGCCCACATAAACAATCCACAAGTGTTTGTTTTTTATCACACCGCTTGCCTCGTTTATTAAAAAAAAACAACTTTGTACATTTTTTAGTTGCTGTTGTGTCAGCTTCGTGTCGCATTGCATTTCATTTCTATGGAAATTTACAAGCCACGTAACGCATTTCGAACACGTGACCAAAACAAAAACCAACTTGTAAAACAAGTGCGAGTAGATACGAAAATAGAAAAATGTACTTTTCTTACTGCATATTAAGCAATTGTACAATATAAAGTTTTGATAAGGCTGCGGGGCATAATGTGGGGCAAGGTGCGTGAGTAATTTGAGCTATTTGTATCAGTTTTATGACGTGCACGTGCCTCTCTGGGCGTATGTGTAATGTCAAAGCTGGTAGGCTTGAGTACGCTACGTATACGTAATAACATCTGATGCGCCATTAGCTAATGGTGGCTACATTGCAGCGTTGCACGTGTCACCAGCAATATTCGTAAATACCTACATATGTACATATATACATTCATTTGTATGTTTGTACAAATGTAACTGTCCAGCTGACTGTGAGATCGGAAAAAGAGCAAAAACAGGAATGCAGCTTATGCAAGCTGCTTCAGCCAGCGCCCATTTTCTTTGCGCATTGGACTTGGACACGTTTGTGACATTAGTCGAGCGTGCTGGGCAGTGACTTGTTGCTTTGATTTGCTTTGACCTTTGGCAGCGCTAAAAATAGATTGCATGCCTTTGTGAGTAGCGACCGCTGGCATTTAAATTTAATTAAAATGCTGGAAAATAAAATGAAATAAACAAAATTATATATGTACGCGCACTACATATATGTATAAACAAAGAGCTGTGCTGATAGTACACACACGTACACGCACACAGCTAAAACATTTGCACAACACGTGACCAACAACAAACTGGCATGTGTGCTGTGTGAGTGTGTGGCTTACAGACGACATACGTAGATACACAAATTTCTACATATATACTTATTTGTATGGATGTATGTGAATTGGCTGACACGCTCGCCTCGCGTGAGATATTACGTCATGCGCTATGAATTTTTTGCGCTGGCTGTGGCCGCTTTCAACGTGTCTTGATTAAAAAGCTGCTCACGCGTATAACAGAGAGGGAGAACAGCGCGAAAAGAGACTAAGGGAGAGAGAGAGAGACAGCAAGAGCGAGACAAAAAAGTGTGTGTGTATGCTAGCGAGTCAGAGAAATAGGTGAGCCCACCGCTCATCGCGCTGTTAATGAACGGCCAACTCAGCGTATGATTATTATTTCGATTATTAATAATACATATATATGTATAAAAACAAAATTTCAGCCGACTATGAGAGCTGGCGTTTTACATGAATATGTATCTGTGAGACAGTCGCTTTGTTGCCAGGCCGTCAAATGTCGGCGTTGATGGTGCCGCCGCCCAATGTAACAGCTGCGAATCGCTTTGGAATTTGTCACGTTCACGTGTTTTATTATGTGCTGCTGACGTTGTTATTGCTGTTGTTTAGCTTAACTTGCCTTGGGTTTCTACGTCGTTTATTTATTTCTGTTTTTGTTTCGATTGCGCTTGCCTTTCAACTTGAAAGCTGTCAGACAAACACCAACAGAAACAACTGTAAAGAGCACGCAACGCACGCCCCGATGACCACTGAGTTCTATAACGGTAATCTTTATGTGCAAGCGTGTGGGTGAATGTTTATTATCAATAAAAAAAAATGGAAGAAAAACTCTGTACGTCTGCACTATGTACATTAGTACAATTTTATTTTTAATAATTGTCAACAGTAACTACTACAGTCATCTTAAGTGCTTATTAATAACACACATATGTACATATTCATATACAGTGGTCTGTTTATATATACATACATAAAAGTAATACGCGCAACAATGGTTGTATTTTTCGTATTCGTACATAACGCACATTTCTTTATACGTACGTTAATACATACCTATGTATGTACTATGTTGGATGCATGCTCCCTCGTTGTATTCAAATAGGCTCATGAACCGCATTTCTGTGCTATGGCTGGTGCAGGCTGCCTGTAAAGTTGCGTCGTCTAGTCATCAAAATATGCACCGTAGTGCTTATAAGTCTTACACGTGGCAAATATTTATAGCTTATTTTACAATTAAAAACAGACAATATACAGATTTCTAGAACATATGATCATTAATATAAGATAGGTGAGTTACTTCCTTTAAATATTCTTAACACAATCAATGCAAAAAATAAATAAAAGCGGTTAATAGCTGTAAGTATGAACAAGTATACGTCTTCGATTTGATATATTCCTTTGAAAACATTGATTAGCTAATCCATGTATGTACATACATACAATAAAAATACAACAAAAATATGTACAAATGTGTTCTTCGTAGGCCCACTGTGGCAATCACGTTCGCCGCGCACGAAATGCGATAACATCAACGCACGCACAGACACATTCACAGAGATCTAAAAGCCAGCGCATACCAACACACACTCACTCGCAGTGCCAGCCGCAGCCCAACATGACTTGACAAAGTGCTTCGCTCAGAGTCAGCGGGGCGGTTTCTCTCTCGCTCTCTCACGTTTTCTAGCTCTTTTGCAATTTTCATTCTCTGATAGCCCAGGCACGTCATCTGCTCTCTCAACTTGCTCACAGTTTTTGGTCTCGTGTTGTGTATATATACACTCTTTGTGAAAAGTATATTCAACTCTAATGTGGCTTGTAAGCAAGCACTCACAACAACTTACTAAATTAGGATTATATAAAGTGCATATATATACAAAAATTTTAAATTTAGAAATAAACAGAATTTGTTATATTATCTGAAACACATTATAGTTAGAAACTCCCATTTGATTATAAGAAAATATATTAAATTTACAGGGTTTGTATTCTGTGTAGGGTATTCAACGTATCCATACGTTGAATTTGGGTTCGCCGTCTTGGTTTTAATTTTAGCCCGTTCGCCGTGTATTTTTCATTCATTTCAATTCGACCGTTCGAAGTGAGCAGTTGATGTTAGCAATCAACGCAAGTGTTTGAAACAAAAAAAAAAAGAAATACAAAATTATAGCAACAGTCAAGCAAGTAGCAGCAACAAAAAATTGTAGGCATACATACACATACATCTGAAAGTGCTGTGTAGTAAAATATACAAATACAAGCAAACGGAAAGCTCACAAACACGCGGGTGCTGGTAAAATTCCACTGTGAAACGAAGGAAGTTGTGTATTAATAAAATAAATATAAAATAATTTAAAGTGCAAAACGTGTAAATCGTGCCGTGTGACAAAAAAAAACCAATCACGTTTTTCGACAATCGTTCGCGGAGCTGGTAGCGTGCATGCGTGTTTAGCAGAGAGCAAGTCCCGCGACCAAAACGAGACGCGAGTGCAAAAAATTTCAAGGTTTCGAACGCAGCCGCATCGCTAGCAGAAAACGTGTGGGCATCAAGTTAACACGGGCGGGGCAGACCAGGCTAATACAATTAAACATTGAGCCCGAGGCTTACAGTGGTACAACAAGTGTGGTGAAATTGACAAATTGATAAACATCCCGAAACCTGCTATCGCTCAGTAAGAATTAAGCCCCCTAGTACATATATATCAGCGAATACATAAATGCGAGCATAGTGGTGTGTACTTAAGGTCTTATCGCACCCGTTGCTGTCTCCGTTATCGGCACAGTCACAAAAACGAAAGACTAACGCTGCTGATAAACGTAGCACAGTCATCACTTACAGTCAACAGACAAGTGATGCGCCTTATCGGAAACAGATTACTCCTTTAACTATTTTAACATAAACAGAAAGACAATTCGAAATGTTATGCTACATGTAAAACGGTTAGGGGTGTCGCAAGTGTGCAAAGAGTATTGGATATTTAAGTGTGATACAAATTGTTATATAAATTAATCAGATTAAAACTAAAATCTAAATATTTAAATTTGTTGAATATTTAAATACATTATTTAGCAAGTCGACTTGTGTAATATTCAAAGTGACCCCACCAGAAAATACAACCTAGCAAAAAATTGTAATTCGCCGCAAATAAATTCGCCGTGGCCGACAACCTGTTTGCTGTCATATAAATTTGTGCGCTCTTTCGCCGGCTTTTTATCTTGTCTCTCCTTCATTGACGTAAAGAGCGATACCGTCCACCATTCCACCGCAACTGCAAGTAACGGTGACGCAGGAGCAGCAGCAGCAGAGGACGGAGCCACGCAAAGCAGCCATCGCAATTTTGCCAAGGATCGCAGCCTCTAGCAGCACCAGCAGCCACCGCAGTCACAGCAACAACAACATGGAGCCTTACTGGAGCGAAGCCAACGGTCATGCCGCACATCCGGTTAAGTATGAGAGGTAGGTATAAATAAGGAAGCCCTTGCCACAGAAAACGACAACAACTTCTACAAAAACAACAAGCACACTCACTTTCACCTGCGCGCGTTAAGCTTATGCATAAATTATTGTTAGTGTTATTTTTAAATTCATCTCTTTTAGTTATAGTTTTCAACCGGCATTGTAACAGTTTATCATATGTGCATGTGTGTGTGTGTGTTTGTGAGTTGCGATTGGATCGTGAATCTATTTTTGGCAGTTGAGCAAATTGAAGAATAAAATCAAGCGAAGAGCAAAGTAAAAACGTGGGTAGACAGACTTGACGCCTTTGAATCTATTTTCAAAATGGATTTTTATTTTATGTATTTATTTATGCAAACATTTTGCCAAAGCACAAGCAAAATACAACACACGATTGGGTAAACGTGACGCTCAGTTTGGGGCTTACCCCTTTCTCTCTTCTTCTTTTTGTATTTTTATTTTGAACTTGAATTTTATTTACCACGCCATTTCATTCCACTTGGAATTTTTGTTTTTGCGGGCATTGGTCGATACAGCGTACATACGTTACATATGTTATATATACATATATAATACTATACATATTTTATAAATAAATAAAAGGTTGGGTTGAGACCGGAGTGATTGGTTTTTATAAAGCAAGCTTATATTCCCACTAAATGTCAACGGCCAAAATGCTATAAGGCTATAAATAGCAACAAAAACAGCCAACTGGCCCCGCACATTTGATTGGCTTTTGTGGGCGTGTTGGCTCCACACAGGCATACATACACATCCACATACACACGTGTGCGTGCGTGTGTGCCAGTCGGTGTCCTTTTGAAGGTCAGCAACTGTTGTTGTTGATTGTTATTCGACTATTTTCGTGTCCTCAGTGTCTAGTCCACTGGCGCTGCGCCTTTAAGTGATTCCCAATAATGTGTATGCACATATTTAACGTTAGTCACTCCCAGTGCTTAATAATCAAATATGCAACAGTCATAAAAATAATAACGCAAGAAACAAGCTAAAAAAGGCAAATTAAAAAATCCATTTACCAATTGCTTACCAAAGAAGCTGTTTTGCTCTTGTTTTTAAAATGACCCTTTAAAGATGTGATGAATATGTATGAATATTAATTATGTATGAGATTTTAGATGCACATGTGTACATATACATATGTTATATATGAATGGGGTTATTTACACATTGGACATTAATTATGCTATTAGGCATTCAAGGTCCATTTTAAGCATATTACGCTTACATCGTGTGAGTCATTAAATAAAGATCGTCATGCAAACTGGAGGCGATTTAATTTTTTTTTACCATTTTGACACTTCAGTAATTAGATCAAAATGAAATAATTGGTTTAAGGGATGTAGCCACTCTTTTGAGTGTCATGTTTAAACCCTAAAATGTTCTTAGGGATTTGTCTATAACTTGTTATTGTTAACCGATCGCTTGTTATGGCTTCTAGGTGCTAAATACAGAAATAAATAAATTGAATAACGAGGACGAGGTTCTTAGCATTATCGTCAACATTGTTATCGCGATCGTTGTCGTGCCCGATATCATTCAGTACCTGGCAGTTTGCTTAAATCGTCACTTGGCACTTGAAGTAAACACGCGTCTACGAAACCGTCGTATATCTACAATGTTTATAATTTGCTCTACCGCTGCTTTAATTAAAACCAACTTAACTACAAACAAGTCATCTATAAAAGAGATAAGCAAGCACGCGATAAAAGCTCGTGACGCACATCGAAGATACCGGATAACTGATTTACTTAAAATATATATTAAACGGGAGTGTTGGTTGAGAGACAATGTGTGAGATCTCGGGTTTGTTGCACGACGAGGCAGCTGTTCCAAATGCCAAATACTCAAATACGCAGCTGTCTCTCATTGTTTTCGATTTCGGGATCTTTGCGACAACGTGATCCCAACCATCCCGGCCGTGACCCAGTGATAAGCAAGTGCTTGGTGCTCCGCGATTTGTGATATGTAATAAGTGGCTATCGATAATGCCGTGCGAGAGAATTCTGAGAAAGTGTGTTTGTTTGCTGACTACGTTTGTGTTACATGGCGAAGTCTCGACTGCTGGTGCAGATTCGTCATGTAGATTAAGTACGCCCAAATGTTCAGCAAGACAACACGTCAAAGCAAGCCGCAAATGATCGAGTATGTGCATTTATTTAATACACAATTCAGTGATCTATTTAGCTTATATCAATAGCGATGTTTACAAAATAAAAAACAAACGCATGCTTGCGTTCTATAAATAAAACTACAAATTTTATCTATACGCACATATGTACACACATATGCATGTACATATATAAATTGGTACCTAGCGATCTCGCGATTCTTCAGATTTAAACAGAGCGGACACTTATTCCGATTTCAAATCGGATTCCAAATGCCATTCGGAGTCGCGTCGTCTTATCGTCATCGTTCGACCATTGGCATCCCCGCCAGAGGCACGTACACATGATCGTTTCCATGCAGTTGTTTTCATACAAATATATATATATAAGTGTCTGAATATATATGCATGTATGGACATACACATACATATATCTCCCACTGTGCTGCTTTATACATATGCATCAACTTTATAGAGCTCGCGATCTCTCGTGCCGTTTGACAAACGTGATACAAATATTGAGAAATTCACAAAATTTGTTATCTGTATGTAAGTGCGTTTTTGTATGTGCAAATGTGTGTCCGTATGTGCCTGCAAGTATTTGTATGTGTGCTTCCTGGCTGTGATTAATGCACTCAATGTTGGCTGGGCATGTTGCGAGGCAAATCTCTAGGTCTGGGGCTTGTGAGCAGGTGAGTCAACAGCGTCCATCAGGTTTCGCGACGTTGCATTTGATTGCTGCTAAATGATTTAAATAGATGGATTTTTATGTCTTTTGACCCACTTATTAAAAGTATGCCTCGTGTGTGAGTGTATGTGTAAATATGTGCACGGGAGAAAAAGTATTCTATGTATAGAGAGTAGAGGATATTTCCGAAATGGCAATACCTTTGACATTTTGACATTTTTTCAGATATCGAATAATGTGGCATAATGTCTCTAGTACCAATCCGCTTTTGTGGTTTTTATTTCTGACAATCTGAAGTCTTTCACGTGGCTGATTTAAACGATGTTAATATCCGCTGCATCATCTTTTTTCAAACGCTATAAATACATATGCATATGCAGGCATGTATGTTTGCATGTGTGCATGTGTGTATGTGGGCGCTAAAAGAGGCGTACACGTAATGCATCAAGTAAATCATGCAGCACTCACCGCTTGTGCTCAATTGAGCTTATTGCAGTTATGAATTGTTGTTTGTGTTTATTGAATTGTTTACTGGATGTGGAGAATACGTGAGAATAAGTAATATTTTAAAGGGGGAGGGCTGCCGCTCGTTGCAGTTCAGTTCGCTGTCCCGCTGTTGCTAAGCACTCCAATTGACATGTGGACACGATTTGCTGGCAAATCAGTTTACGCTCTGATGAATTATTTGTGATGGATAAGCAATCTGCACTTGTTATAGTGCCATGGCTTTGGCGATATTGTCACGTGTCCAGGCAGCCATGGCTATATATACATACATACACATATGTATATATACTTACTTAAATTTTTTTAAATTTTCAGCCGAACAGCTGCAACCGGTTAGCGTGAAATTTCCAGTTTTTCAAGCATAACAAAAACATCTCACGTGATCTCTGCTAAAGTAGTTTGTGTGAAACACTCAACAAGTTTTATTAGTAAAAATTTCCAGCACTCTAATAATTGTTTACGACTGTTGCTTGGCGGCTTGGCCTGCACTAGTATTTGTTTATATGGCGTTTATCTTATCAGCAGCGTCTCAGACTGCAGGTGCAGTCAAGGTTATACCGGCCAATGAGCGGGCCAGTGACAGTCTCCAAGTCGCAGGTTCTCGTTCCTCCATCGTAAAGGCAGATCACTTTTGTTTTCCACTTAATGCTTGATGCTAATTTACCAAAGGGAAGACAACGATTTATTATATTTATATTTGTGTTGACTTTTTTGAATTCCCCCGAAGTGCGTCATCGCTTTAGTGCTTTCGCTATTCTATTAGGTTGGTTCTTTGTTAAGCATTTCAAAATTCAAAGCACCCATTTCCATTGCCTACAGTCAACTTAAGCGTAGACATCTAGAAATTCTATGATGTGATGCGAAGGTCTTTCTCATTTGACCCAGATTTTGTAACGGAAATGCTTGACATTGAAACAGCCGGACTCTTTTGCATAATTGTTTCTACAGTCGTGGTAACAACAAATTTGTTAAAAAAATTGACAGAAATTTGTTTTACACTTGGCCTTTGCTTAGGTGCGTATATATATATTTATATATATATGTATATATATATTTATATATATATGTATATATATATGTACATATATTTACTATACTACTCTTAAATATTCTAGTTAGTCATTTTATTAGTCACCCTCAAAGAAATACACGCAATCTGACATGGATGTTGATCAATCAGTCTTGAATTGCTTATGCAGCACACGTACACAAATTTAGCAATTATAGCAATTTAAATACAGTCTATAAAGTATTTCAATGTATTGTGATTAGACTAACAAAACATAATATGTGTTATTTTGACTTGTGCTATCTTAAAGTCATGTGAATGAACTCTGATAGTGTTCGTAAATACACACTCATATTCACACTCACTCATGTAAGTACATACATACATATGTGCACTTGAAATTTTAACCGAATGTCACGTGTAACGGAAAAGATATCTTATCTGTGAAGTCAAATAGAACTGGAAACAATTAATCGAAATATCAGTAGAGTACGTTTTCATTATTTTTAGGTTAACGCACGATATCGCCAACAACTTTGAGGGCGTGTGTGTGCAAAATCTTTCTATTAGTATATACTCTCTATTCAAAAGGTTGTTAAAATTTCGTCACGAAATGTGTATCGCATTAAAGAAGAGATCTTCAATTGAGTTAATATTGATATACTTATGTCTCTGTCTATTTTTAACAAGTCTCTCTCAACAAGTCTTTCTCTTTTACAAATAGATGAAGTTTTTATTAAAACATAACAGTGCGGCTAGGATAAGGGTATTTATGCTTCGGCACTCTGAAGATAACTTTCCTTTCGTTTCATTTATTGTTCCAATTTCCAATTAATGCGCATTCAAAGCGTGCTTCTAAAGTCTGTTCATGCTTCTGGCAAGCAGCTTGCGGCTGATCAACATTTAGCGTCATTTGGCATACTATTTAGATGTCGCATAGACGAATTGTTGAATACACTACAAATTCGACTGGCTCAAATCTAAATATATATACGAGCGCCGCTATTCGCCAATTACTTAATAGCTCAAAGGTGCACGTCGGCACGACATCGTCGACAATGTTTTGGCCCCCAAATTCGAAAACGCCAACAAGAAAGCTTGCCAGTTTGGGCGGGCATAAGGGGCGTGTCCATAGGGTTCAATGTTCATTGTTTAGCGTTCAGGGAATCGCGTAGATATTTCATGAATCAAGCGAGTGATTTGGCAACTGACGCCGCTCGCTGGGTGCAAAGGTCGACTGTTACTTGAGTGCTGTAAAGTAAGAACACGCCCTGCGCACGGGACTATCACTGGTATGCACTACCTGTTTGCCCTGTGGTATCCCAGATGACAGTTAATCAACTAGAGTGCAACTCAACTGGATCAGTTCTTAAGTACATATATGTATTTCAATATGCAAATAAATTGCATTTGCAAACAGCATAAAAATGAACTGTGACGTGCCAAAGTGCGCACTACTCATACGCAGTGTGAACCAAGATCTGTGCGTGACATTTAAAGCTTCCTTCAGCTTAGAAATAAACCAATAAGTGGTGCTAGATACCGGGGAGATAGTCGCAGTACTCAGTAGTCGCAGTTTATAGATTTCACCAGAGTTTTCTGGCACTGCTGTGGGGGATAAGTAAACAAGCTCTAAGCGCCATAAGCTGGTGGGTACTGGTATTTACTACGTTTGCATGTATGTATGTATGTATGTATGTATGTATGTATATATGTATGTATGTATGTATGTATGTATATATGTTTGCATATGTATGTTGTACGTATGTATATATGCATTTGTATACATTTATATATGTATGTACGACAGTTGTTTACATACTCGACCAATCTTTGCGTGTTGGCGCTTATCGCAAATGTTGCTGGCATTCGCAACAAGTTTTCTAGCGTTTTCTGACGCGGCCTTTCAGAGTTGTTTTTTCTTTTCTGTTATTCTTTTCTTTTCTCTATTTTTATTTTTGTGTCTTTATTTCTTTAGGTTTGTTTGTTTGTTTTGGTCAGAGATTAGTGCTCATTGAAATTGATTAAATATTTTCATTATTCTTTATTTTGTTTCACTCTTTTTATTTACTTATTTGCCTCACTTGGCAACTGTTTGTGTTTTTTTAATACAACAAAATTTAAACAATTTGTTTTGCTCGCTGTACTTAAGTTTTTTGCATTTAAAAAGATTTTATTTTATATATTTCTGACACATGCTATTAAAACGTGTAGATTCAATAATTAGATTTAAAAGAGAGCGTATGCTGACTATTTATTTAAACGTGCTGTTGATTCTTGGCTAGAGAAATGTAATTTTTTATACATGGTATATCTAGCAGAGTTATTCGATGAGAATATTTATCTATGTTAAAGGTGTTGATATTTGGTTATTTATCTATGTTAAAGGTGTTGATAGCAAACACAGCTATTGTAAAAATGCGACACCTGCTCAGCATAAGATCTCACAAATTAGCGAAAAAAAGAGTTGGTTTTATTTTTGTATAAGTGTAAGTATTTCTGCGTATAGGGGTGTGTGTGTGTGTGTGTGATTATATAGCTGGGTATGTTTTTATATGAAAAACTATTATACACTATGCTAATTGTATTTTAAGGCACTATTATCCTTTATACTACAAACAAAACAAAACAAATCGCTCGTTTGATTTTAGCCAAGCGACAACTTGGTGTGCAATCATTGGTGGCCCTTTTCGGGGACTCTCGGATTAGCTGCTGGTTGACTACCAACTGTGGAACATTATAAGAAAAATGATATTGAGATATGTAAGAGAGTATGAGAGAGGGATGCGCGACAGACAAAGAGTTTTGTTGTTCACAAATTTACATTTCGATTAATACATATTTCTTCTTTTTTTCATTTTGCAGCCTAGGTTTATTTTTAATTTTACTTGAAAACAATAAAGCATTACCCATAAAAAACAACACAATTTAACTACATATAAATATTTAGAATAATTAGCCTTACGATTATATTTCTAAGTCAGTTTAAGTTATGCGCCTAATAAATGCATTACTAAAACAACGAAAACAAATGAAAAAAAAAAAAAACTTGACTAGATTTTGAACAAGATTTGGACTTATTTGTGTTTCTTATCCTTCCCACTTCTTTTTGCATATGAAACAAAACGCATACGAATTATAGCGAAGCAGCTGTCTCCAGTTTTCCTTATTGCACAGAATCTAGTTTAAATTTTTCAACATCGGCAACAGCATACAGCGAGGATGATGCTGAATATGCCACCGGAAGACGTAATAAAACATCGAGGGTAAATATTACAATTTTAGAGCGAAAAATCGCGACACTAATCAAATTCGAAAACAAGATCAAAGGATCAAAAGAAAAAGCGCCCGAGTAACAAGTTCTCAGCTTGTACTCATAATGTAACTGATTACTGGTGACTGGTGACTGGCGACTGGTAACTGGCAATGGCAAGTGACGTCGATGACTACGCCTACTTTCACACGCCTACAACTCACACAGAACGCACACGCACAGCATCCCGAGAAGTCGCCGCCGCTTTTGACCCTTTTTTATTGTACGCAAGAACATGAAGATACAATAATTAAAATTAAAAGAATACCCAAATTAGTAAAGTTAACGAAAATAAAGCGAAATTTAATAAACATGACAAAAAGATCTAAACAGAATACAACTGGCCAGAATCATTTAGCATAATGGTCCCGAAACTTCATAACCTTTTACTCACTAGCTGCTAGGCTCTGGTAAAGATCATACTAATGGTAGTCCTTATTTGTATGCTTCTATAGCAAGATCCATTGTCGCATCGCATCATTGAGAAGCGGCGCCGCGATCGCATGAACTCCTGCCTGGCTGATTTGTCCCGCCTCATACCTCCACAGTATCAGCGCAAGGGGCGTGGCCGCATCGAGAAGACCGAAATCATTGAGATGGCCATCCGCCACCTAAAGCACTTGCAGAGCGAGTGCCTTCAGAAGGAGAGCGAGTACCGCAGCGGTTACATGGACTGCATGAAGGAGGCGGCAAAGTTTCTCTACGACAGCCAAATGCAGGACTTTTGCTATCGACTTTTGGCCCGCCTGCAGGAGCATATAGACGAGGTGTTTAAAGGTAAGTAACCTAATTTTTTATCAAATCAATCACTTTTTATACTAATTTATATTTTTCTCTGCTTTTGCCAGCTGACTGTTACAAATCCACCCGCAGCTGCCACATTTCGGATAACGTGAGTGCCTCCAGTGGCAGCCCGCATCAGGCGTATCATCAGCCTCTGTGCCATCTGCGCGACATGCAGGGCGCCTCTGAACACAGCAGTGACCATAATGATGTCAAAGATCTGAGTTTCCGCAATCATCTCAATCAGCTACAGCGTAGTCATCAAGCAGCTGCGGCGGCCGTTGCTGCTGCCGCCGTGACCAATGCCAGCACTTCCAGTACCAGCATGGAGCGCCAAAGCCCGAGTAAGCTCGCTGTGGGCAGCGGAAATGGTATGGTCAACGGCATCGCTACCGATAATGTACCCACCAATTCAACAGGCTCTAACGCTGCAAGCAGTAATGCGGCTAGTTCGACTACATCTACATCCACATGCCACACGTTGGCTAAGGCGCCTGTGGCCGCTGTTGCCATTGCTGCCCACCAGCAGCCGCATCAGGCGCCAGTGATTACATCGACGGCGCCTCATCATCACACAGATAGTAGTCAACACGATTTTGAGTCTTCGCGTGAGCCGCTGCTTCACACGGATACCTCCAACATGCACTCGCCCCCACCGCGGGACTCTCTGCTGCAGCAGCATGCTCATTTGGCCCATAATCATCACACAACTGATAGCCTAATGTCGCTGCGGATGCGCAACTACTCGGAATCCTCGCATGAGATCGAACACAACAACAATTACAAGTACAAGAACCACATCAAGGAGCGTTTTGTGCACGAGCTGCACGACGAGGAGACGAGTAGCGAGCACGCGCCGCACCTGCAGAGCGAGCATTCGCATTTGCATGCACTTTCCGAACACTCCAAGGACGGTACCGAGCCTGAGATAGCACCCATAATGGCCAAGAAGCGTAAACTTGCCGAAGCAGCCTGCAATGGAAACCTTCTGCTGGATGTGCACAATGAAGCCAGCAACACAATTCCGCCACGTCCCATGGTGTTGGTGCGCGACGACAAGCTCCCTTTTAGCTTCAGTGATATTAAGGACATCAAGGCGGAGCTGCACAATAGCAATTCCAACTCCGGTCCGCTACTGGCCAAGCTTAACGCTGCAGGCGCGCAGTTAAGCACGCCTAGCAGCACGACGGCTCCACTGCCGCCCCGTCACTCGTTTACTGTACCTATCTTTGCGTTGCACGGACAGGGTAATTACTATGTTCCACTTAATGTGGATTTCAATGCACTGGTGCCGTACCTCAACGGTGTAGATCTGCTCGAGAAGAGCTACACGAGTATGCCCGTGGTGCATCCCATCAATATAAATGTCAACTTTATGTCCAGCTCGGCATCATTGTTAGCGGCTGCTGCTGCCGCCGCTGCCGTTGCTGCCGGCAAGCAACAGGCAGTGGTCGCCCCAACCGCTGGCTCACTAAGTGCTAGCTCAGCAGCAGTTCAGGCGGCTGCTGCTGCAGCTAAGGCCAAGCTGGAGCAGGCCATTAGCAACAGCTGGTAAGCTTCGCTGACTCGAAAGGGACGCACCACAGACAACGGAAGAGAACAAGTCTACCTCACCACTTATGTGAATAATCATCAAATGATTAATTCCTAATATTGTGCGAAAATCAATCTGTTGGGAGTCGCTTGGCTGCAGCAGTATAAACACACACACACCACACATACACAAACAATTGTTATTCTGTACAAGTAAGATGATTTAACTGAAGGACAGTGAGCAACCAGTTATGAACTGGTCGCAGCCTTTGAGGCGCGCCTGTTTATTGATCCACTGAGCAAAGTCTACATCAAAATTGAACTGTTTTAAGCCAACTTAATGGAAATTTTGTTTACAAATAGTTACAAAATAAGATTAATGAAAAATTCTACAAATTTCTAAGAGAAATATACACATAGAAATGTGCATGTTTAATGCCAAGAGCCAGCCCACATTAAAAAATCTAATGGATTTAAATTATAATTAATTGTGAATTAAATATATTTTTAGATGTGTAAAATTTTTTTGAAACTTTAATAAGCGTTTTTGTGGTTTCAAATCAGGCTCCAAGTGCGTTTTATTTTTAAATAAATAAATATTCATAAACCACTAGTCAAATCAACATTTAAGAACTAAAAAAAAAATATTTTAAATGTTGATGTGTATATATTTTTATCATACAAATTATATACAATGTATTTGTTTTAAGTTTTATTATTTAGCAACCAACTATTTTAAGTTTTTATGGTTCCAGGTTTTCGCAAAAATTTTGGGCAAATATACAAAATACGTCAATTTCGTTCAAGTTTGTACCAAATTTCATTTTCGAAATGGGGAACTTTTATTTTTTTAGATAAATATGTAAATAACTTTTTCATCACTGTTTCTGTCATTAAGTTGATTAAATAAAAGTTTTTAATGTTGTGAGATGTTATGTGAACTTTAAATAATTAAATAGGCAAAATAAAGAAAAAATAAAATTATTTTCTAAAAATGTTTGCTGCTTAAAAACTAAAAGTTTACGCACAATATATTCATGTTTTATGGATTTTATGATTATTACGTTAACTACAGTACAATTAATATAATACTTCTACATTACTGTTTAATATATTTTATATATGTATGTATACTTACGTAATAAAGTTGAAATGAAAATTATTGAACAAATTTATTTTCACCTCGTCTGCCATTCTTTGCTCGTCTGCTACTGGGCGTGACAAAATATATATTTTTTGATCGATTTGTGAATAGCATATAAACATAATTGGCAGTCACCACATATGTATGGTTGTCGAAGATCCTATAACTTTAAAGATAACTGACTGTTAAATAATGCTTCTATTTGTCTTGATACCGCACTGTTGGGCCTTGGGTCCGAGTCCCGGATAGTAAATTTCATCTGATTCCATTGAATTCAAGGCCTTCTTTGTATCGTCGACCATCTCCAGCTTTGTGATTCGAGACACTCCACAGGGCTCTCTCGTCTATCTTGTGGACCCTAGCGGTCAATGTACAGTTACGCTCTACGGAAGGTGAAGGTCGCCAGATTGTATGTGTGAACGACATTGCTGTCGTATTCTCGGATAAATACCTGCAAGCCCTCTAATCCGACCCAATGCTTAAGTTCGAAGTACCTGGGTCTGGAACTCGACTGGACCTAAATACGAAAGATCAAGACACAATTTTACATGGTTACGGTAAATTTCTCCATATTATTTAAGAACTTCTTTGCTACATACATAAAAGTTCTCTTTCATATTTTATCTCATCCAATCGATCTCCCAGATCGATATATATAGTCACCCTAACTTTGTTAATTTTATATTAGACTGAATAGTAGACTAAGTAGTATTGTAAATTTTCAAATACATTTAATTTAAGTTGTTCTCATAATAACAGGAAAATTAAAATAAAGCTAAGGCCATTTTAAAAAAATCAAAAATTAAAAAAATAACTTTCATATTTTAGAACTTTTTTAGCTGAAAAAAAATTATGAACTATAATTTGAATTTGAAATAATTTAAATCTTAAACGAAAATTTAAGTTTTCCTAAAGGCAGAAAAAAAATGTTTAATTTAAATTTATAGATTTTTTTGAAAATATTTAAAAACAATAATCGGAGTCTGATGGTGTACCTGCTTGTGTGCTCAGGTACAGTGCTGCAGCACTATGTAAACCTGTTTTGAAACTTTTTGAATTGTCTGTAAACACTATCTTTTCCGACCATTTGGAAAGAAGCATACTTTATCCCTCTCCATAAGAAAGGGAGTAAGCACGATGTCGAAAACTCTAGAGATATCCCAAATTATCTGCTATACGTAAAGCTTTTGAGAGAATCATTACATCTCAACTGCAACATTTATGTAGTTCTATTATTTCACCTAGTATGGGTTCGTGAAGCGTAGATCTACAAACACTTACCTTCTTGAGTTTACTTTGCTTACAATCGAAGGGTTTAAGAAAAGAATGCAGACTGACGTCATTTATACTGATTTCATACTGCTTCATAAATTATGCCTTTTCGGATTCCCAGTCAATCTATTGAACTGGGTTTCAGAGTATTTGCGTAACGGAACCCAAAAGGTTCTTTTTCGGTTTCTTAACGTATTCTGGTGACTTCCGGTGTTCCTCAAGGTAGTCATCTTGGCCCGCTACTCTTTACTCTTTTCATTAATGACCTTCTTCGATACTGTCTCACTCTCGAGTATCAATATATGCTGATGATGTGAAATTATTCCTTTTATATAAAGATATCGCCTCATGTTATCTTTACAAGTCGACATTGATGCGTTTCAGACTTGGTGTCTAGCCAACCTCTTAAATTTAAACTACTGCAAGGTAATGACTTGCTATAGAAACCCTTCTTAATTGGTTTCCTACATCCTTGATAGCTTACTTACGCTTGAGCATGTCGAAGGAGTTTGATGATCCGTACACGACAAAGACCCTTTATATATAATATCTTTGGTACGGCCTATACTTGAGTATGCCTCATGTATCTGTCACCACAATATTCTATCCAACACTACAGAATTGAATCCGTGCAGAAACAATTCTTGTTGTTTGCCCTTCATGGCTTAAATTAGGATCCTCGTGTGCGGTTGCCGTCATAATCCTGCAGACTTCTGATTATTAATCTTCCTTCCTTAATTAATAGTAGAACCATGCTTGGTGTAATATTTATTCATAATCTAATTACTGGTGAAATCGACTCCTCTGCGTTGACTAGCCAATTAAATTTCTCTTTCCGTAGACTAACACGTAATTTTACACCTTTATCGCTTCAATTTTACTTAACTAACTATGCCTTGCATGAACCGTTCAGGGTCTGTGATGATTATAACAAGCTTTACAGATTATTCTGTTCGGAGTTTTCCCTTCCTCGTATAAAGTCTTCTATTCTAAACTATTTAGCAAGAAGAGAGTCTTAGCATATAGGCGTAGTTTGTATTCGTTTTGTACTTCGCCGTGTCGTACGTTACACGACTCCCCTCGGTCGGTTGGGCGGCAGTTTCGCGCGAATAAAAAAAAACGAGAAAGAAAGGCTATCTTCGGCACGCCGAAGATTTAATACCCTTGCAGATCTAACCTTTTCATAATGCTCATAGTGCTTTGCCCGTATCTAAGAAGCACAGGAAAAGTAGTTAATGCCGAGAATGGTTAAGATCTCTTGAAAAACAATAAGTTTTGCATACAACAATTTTATTTTCGACCGATCGTTCCTATGGCAGCTATATGATATAGTAGTCCAATATAAATAAGATGTTGCATAAATAGAGGGAGCATTGTAAAACTAATAAATTCCCAGTTTGATCAAGATATCATGAACAACAAAAATATTTTCCTTACAACAACTTAATCTTCAGCAGCTATTTGATAACGTGGTCCGAAGTTGACGACGACGCCTACGTCCGTAGTCGAAAGGCCGAGGAGGAAAATCTGGTGCCAAGGCACCCAAAAAAGACGAGCGGTCCAGAAAACCAGAAGCCTGCAAGAAGAGATTAACAGAGCCCTGCTGAAGGTGATTAAGGCACATCCAGAGGGTAAACTCTTCAACAAGTACTCCTCCCACTACCCACAGCGTCTGTGCTTCTAAACGTGAGGCCCAAGCAAAAACTTCTCGTTAAGGATTTCTAATTACAAATAATTTTTTAAAAAATCATAAACAATAAAATGAGAGTGCTACCTATGGCGCACCTGTGCGAAAATAAATAGCAAAATACCAGATGAGAGGGCGAAACCAGTTCGCCAAGATAGGAAAATGCCTAAATCAATAGAGAAGAGGGCCAATAAGTTCGACAGGTGGACATTAGCGAAAACAACAGTAAAATGTTTGGATTTAGGAAAAGAAAGATAGTTTTTCGTTGGGAAGAAATACAAAAAGAAACACAATTCTTTACAAAAAAGTTTGACAGCAACATAACGTTTGATTGGGAAAGTAAAACGCTGGGATTCGACGTACAGAACACGGTAGAACAACCAGCAGAATAAATTCAAGACAAGTGTCAACCAAAAATGGAGGGTTGCCATGTCAAAGCAGAGGCGCTACCAATGCTCCCGAAAATGCAGGTACTCACCTTTTATGGGGATTCCAAAGAGTGGGATCTCTGTGCCGAGTTGTTTACAGAGTTGGTTCAATCAAGAGAGGATTTGAGTCCAGCTCTTAAATTTAGCTATTTGGATACTTTAGACCCAAAAAAGGAGTCGCTTACAGTAGATGCAATAGTTTTGCAAAACTGATGAAAGCGCTTCCAATAAAATCAATAAATATTGATAAAATTAAATGGGAAAGCTATATATTAGCTGATCCGCAGTTTAACAAACCAGGTCGAGTAGATATAGTTATCGGAACTGACTGATCGAGTGGATAGTGTCAGGGTGCACGAAATCCGAAGGGGAGGAAAAAAAAGTCGCGTCGGCCATTGAGGTTAAAGATTTAGAGAGATTTTGGGAAATAGAAGAAAAAGATAAAGAAGATGCAGAAGCAGAAATCAGCGAGAAAAATGTTATTGAAACAACAAGAAAATAACCAGGTGGAAGGTATACAGTTACCATTCCGTTTTAAGAAGAGAAAGAGTAAGGAGAGTCAAGACCACAAGCAATGGTACGGTTTCTGAACTTAGAGAAAAGATTCTTAAGCTGAAGGAAAGTTACAGGAAATTCTTAAAAGAGTTTATGGACTTAGGACATATGGTCGAGTCCATCGAAAAGGGCAAGTTTTCTTTACCTCATCAAGCAGTGTTAAGAGACTCTAGTCTCACAACCAAGTTGAGAGTAGTTTTCGATGCATCCGCAAAAACCGCGAACAACAAAAGCTTAAATGATATAATGTGGGTGGGACCCAGAGTCGAAAAGATATTTTCGACTTCGTATTAAAATAGCGCAAGTGGCAGTTTGCCGTCTCTGCAGATATAGAAAAAATGTATCGGCAGATTAACGCTGACAAAAAGGATCAACAATATTTGTATATTCTGTGGAAAGAAACTCCAAATCAGCAGATTAAAAACTTTTAACCCCATATTTAGAAACAAGAGCGCTAATAGAGATAGCCAATAATTGTAAAGACCAAATCATTGGGGAAACAAACAGAAATTACTTTTATATGGATGATCTGATGTCAGGAGCAGACTCCATACCTGATTGTCAGAAGAAAATAAAATAAATTTCTTTGGAGCTAGCGGAAGCTGGTTTTAATTTGAGAAAATGGATTGCAATTAAACAAGAGATTATAGAACATGTAGAAAATACTGAAGAAAATAAAGTAATAGCGATTAAAGAAAATTAGTCAATTAAAACATTGGGATTACAGTGGGAACCCTTGAAAGACGAATTCAAATTTAAGGTCAATTGTGGGGGCTCAGAAAATATAAAACAAAAGACAAGTATTATT